ATGTGCTCGTTTTCTGTCACGTATAAAACGGAAACTGACATACTATTACCCAGTGCATTCTATCATCTTCTCGATGTCAGAATAGCTGACGGTTTATATTTCATGAGTAACTCCTATACGTACGTCTCCCTATAGACGTAAGGCAATCAAGTTAAACGTTTAACGATGGTTAAAAAAAAAAAAAGAAGAAACTGTAATATATAACAGGGCACCGATGGACACGAATGAGCACAACAAGAATATAATTATTCAATGTATGCCAATATGTTTACTTCAACGTCCCGATATTTATTATCTCCACCTTTTGATATAGGAATAAATTCGCGTAAAAGTGTTTCAACTATTTTCAAACGTTCGTCGCGAGAAAGCGATTTCGCTGGCGACATCTTACATGTCGCGAAAATGTCACGTATTTGAGAATGCACGGCACGCGTACGGCATTCGGGAAACGCGAGCATGTAATCACACGGTTACCGGGCAAGCATCAACTCGTAAAATCTCGAACGATGGGATGACGCCGGGAATGGGGCGACGAGCAGAACGATCGGACACACGTATACCTATATGTGGCACGTGTGCATACGCGAGGAAGAGCAGAGGAGATGGATGAATCTGGTGCCGGGTCGACTGTGATGCACAAAGGGTGAAGTAACTTGATACACACAAGTCGAGACTTGATATGCAAAGCGCGTGTGCGACCATAGCGCATATTCCGCTGGCATGAAAATCCTACGACGACGACGACGACGACGATGACGACGACGACGTCAAGAATCGCGCGCCGGCTTGGAAACGTTACTCACAATGTCGGAAACCGCGTCGCTTAATAGCAATATTTTTTATTCCATGGCAAAGTAACAGGAGCCCCGAATCTCCCTCTCGCGCGCACGTGCCGCATTTACTTACAATTGTGACAAGTTGGCGTATTGCACCAAAGAGTCAATTTACATTTATCGTAATAGCAAATTCAGAGAAGTAAAAGGTGTACCAAAGTGGAACTATGATTGAAGATTACCATAACGATTTCGAAATGGTCCTCATATTTATAATAGGTATATTCGGAACTTAGTAATAATACAGAACAAACACAATTTTGTTAAAGTATCTATTCAAAGAAATCTATCGTTTAATGTTATTTCTTAAACTTGTTTCTTTTGAATTCGAAACGTGACGTGCGTTTTGCAGCGTAAAGTTGGCCAAAAACATTTATTTGTTAATAACTTTTTAACCGAAGGTGTGTAAAATCAATAAAATCGATTTATTTCAGCACGTCCATACAAAAACATATCGAATGAGATTAGTAAATCTAGATTGCTCGTAGTTGAGAAGCTAGTTTTTTACTAGAAGTGTGCAAAAAAAAAAAATTCAAAATGTGCAAACGACTATAGCGATCGAACGTGCTATAGAAAGTTAATTTGTTCAAAAGTTCGGAGATCAACTTCACACGAGTAACTAAATTTTCATGAGGAAAACTTCTTTCTGTATAATACGATAGTAATAAATAATAGTGATAATAAATCATTAAGTAATGTATTAGTACAAGTGTAATAAATAATTAAGCCAAGTAAATGATAACAGTAAATAATAGTAAGAGTAATCATGTTTTTAGTTAGTGGTATGCATATGATGTAAGTGCCTCCATTATTCGGAATTTACGACAGACCGGAAAAATCTAATTTAACTCTGCCTTGATCCAGGATTTCCGCACTTTTCTCTTGCTGTCTCATAGTAACGTCGCACTTTATTTTGCATTATAATTGGCAAGCGTACATTGCGAAGCTACAATTAAGCCTTTATTCAGAGTCAGACGTGGTTTATGCGCTACTAAACCTGCTCATTAAAATTTTTAAGTCGACAATCGTGACAATTTTACAATCCTGTTTATGTTCCGCACCACATCAAGATGTAAAGTCGTGTTCTTTTTATCGTAAAAGCTGCTTATTGCGACAGAAATAACCGAATAATAAATTATTTTTCACTTTGAATTGTTTTATTCGCACATAATATTCCATATTGAACGAAAAAAGAATTTACTAAATTTTAATAAATATTTGTTTGAATAATACCAATTAACGTAAATATGTATTTATTAGTACAAAAACCATTAATTTGATTCAAGTATCATCTTTTTATAGAGTAAAAATTTATTTATCGTGAATAAATGTTTAGTTAGTATTATTAAAATAAATATTTATCAAAATTTAGTAAATCTTTTTCAATTATAAAGTTTCTGTAAACGTGTGTCAAACGAAAATTCTAATTTTAATTTCTCAAAAATGTTGTATAGCTGATTTCTTTCTTCGAAAACTAAATACGTAAAAATAAATACTCAAGTAATACATATTATAGAGAAACAGACAGAGAGAGAGAGAGAGAGAGAGAGAGAGAGAGAGAGAGAGAGAGAGAGAGAGAGAGAAGAGAGGAGAGGAGAGTAGAGAGAGAGAGAGAGATATATGATGGAGTGTAGTACATCCAAGCACGTTCTACGGGTCAATATGGCAGGTCGCTATCGTGACTATTATGTGAGAGGCCAAATCATTACGATGAACACGTACGTTGATGTGTGCGCTATTAATGAAAATGATGCCACTGAATTCAAGCTGTGTGATCTATCAGAGAATTTCATGAAACCGTTTTAGTCAATTCTTAATAAAGTTGTTGTGTTTGTATCGTGAAATATTGCGTAGACGCTATTTCAATTACCTCGTACAATTGCAAAGAAAGTATAGGTCTAAAGAAAATTGTTTTTTAAATGCAATCAATATCGAAAGGATTAAAAACTAAGAATATTCCTTTTATAAATTCAATGCCGCGCTGATTAAGACCGCGTCTCTGCCGGATGCGGAAAGAATCCAATGCGGAGGGAGAAAAAAAACTTTATGCGTCGCGCTGGAAATGGAGTAGAAAATCGAAGACAGTTGGAAAAGCATTTCCGATATTGGAGACGCCATAGGCATACGATAAAACGCAACGTCGGTAAACAAGATTGAGCGTGCCGGCGCTCATTTGAAAAGTAGCAAAAACTTCCGTAAGTATTCTTCCGTAGTAGGAACGAGAAGACTAACTCGATTTGCCAAGGATCGGATAATAGTCTGAGCAATTTTTAAAATTACTTCCCAGTAATTCTCCAATAAGAAATACGACAATCCACACGAGCCTCGTTCTTAAGAGGGAAAGACGGACGGGAGGACATATAAGAACACTAGGCTAGAACGAGAGTTCTACCAAAATGAAAATCGAAATTTCGATTTCGATTCGAATGCATCGAGCTGTCGAATCGAGCCGCGCTAATCGGATCCTCGATAATAGCGGCAACGTGACCCGGATTTGAGACGTTTATATTTGAAAGTGAATCCGCAAACTCGCAGAGGCTATTATATTACAGGTACATAATTACGTTTAAACGCTATTCGACTGGTTTTACTTGGGCGGAATCGCCGTCAGATTCGATTGCGCTCATCAATTAATTCAGAGCGTAGTTAACTATAACGATTCGGAAGCTTGCGTGTGGCGTGCCATTACGATCGTTGTTAAAATGTCAGGCGCATTCAATCGCGGACAGAATTACGAGGACGCGCGCTATGAACTTCGTTCGATTGCAAATCAGTTTGACCACGGGTACATACGCGGTAGATGCGCCGGCTACTACTCGGAAATTATTTACGACGGTCTAGCTATACATCTAATTCTGCCTTTCCATGAAAATTTTAGATCTGAATTCACAATTTATTGTATGCTCATAATAAATATTTCAACAATCAACTCTATTGTTTAAATTCTTATTATAATTTAATTAACAATAAATTTTGAATACATAAATGTTAAAGATGTAAACACTAAATATATTATATTAAATTATTATTTAATTATTACGCTTAATTAAAATTATTATAGATTCAGCAAATTTATTAAATAAAGGATTTACGAAGCGAAAAAAATTACTTCACTCTAATATTACAAATTTGCTGAGTGCTTTCTAACTTTAATAACTTTAATTAAATGTAATAATTACTACAATACAATGTATTTAGCATTTCTATTTACAACAGCTTTATCTACATTTTTTTGTTTCTCTCTCAGATCGATAAATAAACATCTCTGTAATTTCTCTGCATTTAGAATTGAGTAGAATAAATTTTAAAAGTAATCATTAAATTTGCTTTTCATTTCACGTGAAAAGCGCCAGTTTCCATTAGTCGAATAGTATAAAAAAAAAGGTATTAAAAGTATAAAAAAGTAAAATAGATATTCAAGTAAAAAAGAAATCTCGTCAAAGTATAATCGTTTCATCAGTAAATGGTTATTTCACACAATGAAGGACATTGAGTGCCAGCTGTAATCAATCGAACGACAATTATTTCATGGCTAATGCCGGATGAACTCGAAAAAGCATATTATTAAACGAGAGAACACCAGAAATATTCTGTAACAATTTTATACTTTACATAGATGTGTGTGTGTGTGTGTGTGTGTGTGTGTGTGTGTGTGTGTGTGTGTATACAGAGCAGAATTGCGTTATAGATTCATATATGTATTTACATATTTTACATGTATCTATGTAAAGCAGAGAGTCGAGTTATATGTACATTCTCTATTTTCTTATCTCGATGAAAGAGATTAATAACTTTGTTTCTCAAGATTATATATATATATATATATACATTTTACATATTCCATACTATCGTTTCTCCGTAAAACGAAATTTCGATATAATAAAATTGTTTCCGAAGCCAATATTCTCAGCACAATTCTTTCACCACAATATATCAATAAAAGCTTAAAAATGCCAGTAACGGTCTCACAATATCTAATCCTTAATGGTTATTAATCGAGCTTCCCTAAGCTTTTCGTTCAATGAGAGATTTACGATACCGTCTAGTCTGCTTTTTATCCCCGTTCCGCGATAAATTCACGATTAATATAACACGCGGATCGGGACGACAAAAGGTTGGGGTTTCCGTACGGGAGATTAACAGTGAATTCGTCAAACATCGACTTACCAACGAGAGCGGTCAGAATCTCTCTCCAGCTGAGCGTGGCGTGTAAATCCACGTCCTGCCGACCGTTCGCAGCATCCGGTCCTCGTGCCCAGAATAATCTGTATTGTCCGAAACACGCTCCGCGCCGATTCACTCTCGCGAACGCGTCAACGGACGAGGACCATTCTATATTGCATGCCCGCACTTGTTCGTACAAAGTCGAGAGTTCACGGGGGGGAACGCACTGCTGGAAACGCGTGAAAAGTGCGAGTTCAACTTTTCGGGCTCAATTCATAAACACCTCCGACCACCACATCCGCGAGGAGAATTTAAATAGGACAGTACACCTGATTATCCTCTTCAGGATAAACCCAATATGTCCAGTAATACGTTGAACGATCCGATAAGAGAACGATAATCGAAGGAACGTTCATGTTTCTGGTCGCTAACCGCTCATGTATGTTGCATACGAGAACCCGTCCGGAAACTGGGAACGATCAATCATTACGTTGCGTGATGCGGTTATTAAAGGCGCGACTGAACACGAGATATCAAATCACGAGCGGACGATTCCTACGAATGATCGACAACCGGAGCCGAAATTTGACCGACATCGACGATAACGGACGACGTTCTAATGATTCCTCTACAGTTCCGTGGAAACTCTCATGCGTTCGCGAAAAAGCCCAGGAAAGTTTCGCGACGGCGGGAAAGGGAGGAGAAGGAAAGGGAGAGAGTGATGAAGCACACCGGGTTTCGATCATGGAACATTTCGACGAAATTTCGCTACGAGACCGACCGTCGTCGTCGACGACGATAACAACGGCGACGACGACGACGACGACGACGATGATGATGATGCGAGTGCGAGGTAAGTTTCAGTTCGCGCGCGAGTATCAAACTTTTCGATGAGTAATAATCCCTATCGGTTGCTCGTGCCTCTGTATCCCGAAGAGGGCTGCTCGAGAGCAAGATCCGTGATTCCGCGATCGCGTCTGGGAGAACATCGCGCTACCGATTTATCTCGGTATTTGATCCCGGCACGTTCATTTGCGCACGATCACACGCCTACGTACATATATGCGTATACGTGCATACGCGATTGCTCGCGCTAATCACTAATTTTCCGACGACTCGCGATTAAATCACCGGGGACACACTCTCGACTATCTCACATCGCCTCGATCTATCTATCGGTGATCGAAAGTGAGTCCAATAATCTGACACTGCGAGAGAACACAATTGATATACGTCGGATTTACGCGGACGAAGAATATCTACGCGCGTAATCCTGGATTCATGGCTGTCACTTGACTATTTGGCGAGTTGAACGAAGGATTCGTTGAAGAATCTGTAGAATAAAAATTTATCCGCTTCGGAGGACGATCTCCCATCGGTGGCGAGGAAGGGTGGTCGCCGTCGAAGAATTATGCCGTGACGTACTGGGAGTCACGCGCAGGTAGCACGTGACGCGCGCGACTCCTCTTGCGCGACATTGTCGTGACGGCGAGAGAAAGAGAGAGAGAGAGAGAGAGAAAGAGAGAGACGAGGGAGACGTACACAGGTCCACGTTACCCCTAGTCACGCGGGGCGCCCGACGTGACGCTCTGATCGGGTCTGTGTACCGGGGTGCTACTGGGGATAGCCGTATGCTTGTTTTTGCAGAGCTACGGGGCGAGAGAGTGAGACTGGGGAGCATAGTGGGAGATACAGGGTGAGAGAGGGTCGCGCGAGCGGGAGAGAGAAGACGAAGAGGATGAGAGGGAGGAACGGGCTGGTTGAAGCGAGACGGGGAGATTCGGTGGAAGTGGACGAACGAAGACGGCAGTAATAGCGAAGCTGAAGAGCGCGAGAGGGTTGACAGGGAGGGATGAAGCGAGAGAGAACAGAGAGATGGAACGGAAGAAAGAGGGAGAAAGAGAGGAGACCAACCTCCCCCCCCCTTCTCCGTCGGGTGGACTCGGCTGGCCTCGACGACTGGAGCGACGTCGCGACGGCGCAGCGGCAGTCACCACCACTACCATCCCTCTCTACGTTCTCTCCCTCCCGTCGCGAGAGACGTGGGCGACTCTCCACGCCACCATCCACCTCACGCTGCTTGCCAACCCCCCCCCGTGTACCCCGCACCTTTTCCAGGGCCACGGATCGATCTCGACGTCCGTCCGTGTATCCGTACGTACATCCGTCCGTAAGTAAACTTGCCGCTGTACGACCGCGCTACGCTGGTGTACACTCGCGATCAGTCAAGATCACGTATGTACGAGCGTATCTACATACGCGTGACAGAACGCGCGCAGGCCCCGTTCTCAGGAATGCGTGTGTCAAATTTGCGACATCGAGCCGACAGAATCTCGTGGATCTCGAAAATCTCATTCAGAGACAAAGCCGCGTTCGCGATTGAGTACGACGCGATCGAGAGAAAAGTTACTTAGCGTAACCCTTAAATCGTGTATACTCATATGCGTGTGTAATCGCGTTGCTAAGCGCGTGTTCAATTCGTAACACGGACCTGATCGAGAGGTAGATCGTAAAAGTAGTTTAATCTATCTCGGGAATTTTTTTGGTTTTGTTTTGTTTTTTTTCGGTACCTTGAGTATCTCGTTATGCGGTGATTAACGAGATTCCGGGAGAATGGCTAAGCCGCGAAGTTAACTTGAAAAGTTAACGAACATTATTTCGAATGATACGAGTACAATTGCAAGTTACAGCGAGAACACGTATGCTCGTTCGCCAAGTTCGTCTTCGTACGTTTGGTTCTCAACAATTCGCACAGTAGTATATCGCAAGGAGCCTCGTGTGTCGGTGCGAACTTACACAACTGCCATATGCGCGCTTATCTGCTGACATTTTCGTTTTAGTGGCGTGCACTAAACTAGCTCGCGCACGCACGTTGAATTCCTAGCTTGTAGACTTGCAATTTCTCATGGCACAACTATACGGCTAGTAAAATCGAATGTTTATTTTACTATTAAGAGAAGCGGTTTTTCACTTTGCAAAGTGATAAACGAGTCAGTGCGAATAGCTTCCTTTCCTAAGCTTGCAATAGCAATCTGTTACGCGAAAAACTGAAAACTAAATTCGGCACAAGATAAAATATACCCAACTTGAAAAGACTATATAATGTAAACAAAAAAAAATTTTTTTTAGATGGCTACTGTCAAATGAAGACAGATTGTATCAACGTGAATTATTTCACGCCAGAGAATATACATATATGCTATATATACGTACAGTAATAACTCTTAGCTCTGTATTTATCTTTCAACTTATTTTTGAAAATTTTAAGCTGAATGAGATACTCAAAATAAAGTTTCAAATTTAAAATGTAAATGGTTTATAGTAACGATATGTTGATAAAAAATTGAAATAAATGAGATAGAGATTAGACAATTATTTATATGTAATCACACGTTAAGATAGCGTATAATTTGTATCTAATATTTCGAAACAATAGATACATATATTATTTAGATGATAATATAAAACAAAATCGATAAACTATATAGACTAAAAAAATTAGGATAAACTTGGCGCATTACAGAATATCCACATATTTCTTATTAAATAAATTAATTTCTTTTGAATTTAAAAGCATTTTCATTTTATTTATTTATACTAATAATATTATAAATATAAATTGAAAAAAATCTTTAAATATTACAATTTTCTTGCACCAATTTTTACAACATTTAATCCTGAACAAAATGGGAAGCTTAAAGTAAACCTCAAATTCTACTAAAAAATATTGGTAAAGTAAAAAATCATATATATTCAAATATTAATAATTTTTTTCTATTTTAGATTTTATAAAAACTAATTTATTGTCATTCCATATATGTAGTTATAATATTACACATAACTATCTTTTCTAATTTGCGACGGTTTGTGAAACATATATTAAAAAATTAAATTTAAAAGCTTTAAATTGAAAAATAGCAGTATTTAATATATTTATTATATCAATTGTATTAATTTTATTCTATTTCTTTTTTCTCTAATTTTTTTATTTTTTGAACTAAAAAATTTAATTATTTATAATGCATTTAATACTAAATCCATTAATATTATCAACATATATCTTTTCATAGTGTACTTAGCTTTTGTAAAACTTTTACTTTAAATACAGATAATGAGTTCTAGGATTAAATATTTGTATTTTAATCCTCATTTGTTTTAGCCTATATATTTTAAAGCAACGAATCTATGAAATATTATGTTTATCTGTAATATATTTCTGTGTCATATTCTTATTCATTAATATTTAATTAAATATACATATTCATTATATTTAATACAATGTTCTTTTTTCATAAATTCGTTACTTCAATTTAAAATAAAAGATAATTTGAAACTCACAGGAACGATGCGCAGCAGCGGAGTTATGAACTACGTTGCAAACTACGTTCAACTGTAAAATACAAATATATTCAAGTTATTAAAACGCTCGAGCTAATTAAAGTTCCTTTCTTATTTATTTTAGGTATTAAATTTTTTATTCATCTTCGAATAAATATTTTATAACGTAGTTACATAATTTATGTAACTACAAAAAATTTTTTTCCTCCTTTGAAATGTAATCCTCTATAATGTTTTATGAATGAAAATTTAATTCCTATTTAAATCATTCGAATAATATATTTCTTTTGAAACAATCTACATATAGAAATAAATATCGCAAATAATAATATATGTGAAAGATAAATAATATACTCACCCTATGGTTGCTCCGCTGTTGCCCGATGCCTCTCAGGCCTCCTCCTCCTCTCAGATTTAATGACTGCAGTTAACGAAACACTCGCGAAAATATAGTTAATTATCATAGTTGTGGATGACACTTTGTACGACATTCCGGAAGCGATTGTGACAATACGATCGCGCGATATTTTCTACGGCACTCCCGATCGCGCGTACTTCGGTACTTAGTTTCCGCTTTCGAATAAATTTTTCACGTATCTCCAGAGTCTCCTCCTATGTCAAAGTGTATCCGGAAAAATATTATCTGCAAACAGATATAATATTGATAAACTTCTAGAAATGAATAATGAGTGCCGTGTATCAGTTCACCCACTACTATGGAATATATATTTAATTGTAAAATATATTCGTATATTACATACACTCTGACTTCTCAGTTTAAAAATAGCAAGCAAACATTTA